CCCCCAGGGATTGAAGGTTTTTTTCTTGTACAATTCTACTAGGAGCACTGAAATTCTTAAGCAGGAACTCTCCTCCCTCTTTCTTCTTTTTTTATTTAGGTGGAAGTGAAGGCTAATGAGGAATCGTCATACCTATCACAGAGAACTGTGATATGGTTGTCTCTTAATGCCGAGGCCCTTCCTCACACTCTAGTGGATATTCTTATAGCTCTCAGCTGTGGATATGGTGAAAATGATACCTATCTCTAAACGGAATGCAAGGAAGCCAAATGAGCGCAGGTTTCTCTCATCACAGCTTGGACTTGATGTCCCTTTTGGGCCACAGTGATCCCTGATGGCCACCTTTCCACCCTTGGTAGCCACTGATTTTCATATCAGTAAGAAATATATTTTTTCTTTTTGGGTCACACTCAGTGATGCACAGGGGTTACTCCTGGCTCTGCACTCAGGAATTACTCCTGGTGGTGCTTGGGGGACCATACGGGATGCCTGGGATTCAACCTGGGTCGGTCGTGTGCAAGGCAAACGCTCTACCCACTGTACTATCGCCCCAGTCCCAGAAATAGTTTTTTGATACTCTTTGTCAAACACTGTTGTAAGTTGATGACCTCTATTAAAATATCAGCTCCTTATAATCTCCCTAGCTGATTGATGCTATTATTATGATGCCTATTATTCAGTTGAGGTCACTGTCAGCATAAACCAGGGACTGATGTCGCCCAGCTGTCTCCTTTGCGATCATATCAAGTGGCCATCTGGTCTTGTGTCCCAGGACTTTGCCCAGTCAAGAGACAACTATATCTTCATTGATTACAGAGCAAACCAAGGCTTCTTATTAATAAATAAGCAATAAATATTTATTGCTTTTTGAGTCACACCAGGCAATGCTCAGGGGTTACTCCTGGCTCATACACTCAAGAATTACTTCTGGCAATGCTCAGGGGACCATATGGAATGCTGGGAGTCAAATCTGGGTCGGCTGCATGACTTACCTGCTGTACTATCACTCCTGCCCCCAAACTGAGGCTTTTTAAAGGAGTCAAACATTTCTCTCTCTCATCAAATCAACATCCTTAGGGAGCAGAACTAGCATTTTTACTCTGATACTCTGACAAGAACAATTGTTTTTTTTTTTTTACACATGACATGTAGTGTTTCAGAACATATTTTTGAAACAGGAAGCTTGAGATTTTTACCTTAGTAATACTGTGTACTGGCTCAGTGATGTCTCTTCAACTCAGTGTGTTTATCTATGAAGTGAATATAATAATGCAATCACTTGACCCATTGAGATAGAACAGAAAAGACAGTTGCATTACATGAAGCTGACCTGGATCACATCCCCACCACTACATAGGGTTCCCCAGACATTTCCAGGAGTTATTCCTGAGTGGAGATCCAGGAGTAATCCCGAGTACAGTAGAGTGTGCCCCTCCCCCATCAAATCATATCAAATCAGATACAGTTCAGTCCATCCCAGGGTGGTTGTGGGGATAGAATGAGGAGATGTTTGTTAGGGTTTCTGATTGCTCACACATGCTCATTAAATTTACTGTTGGGTACTGTAAATGTGCTAATAGCATATCGTCATATAGTCAATTCATTGGTCTTAAAATCCCGTGAGAGTAGAGTGGGCCAGAAGCTGTAAATTTTTTTACTTTTTTAATTCTTTGGGCAATAAGTGCTGGGGCATTGGCAATATTTAGCTTTTCATACTTTTAAAAATCATGTTTCACTCTTTGAAATATATCTCATGGGTGGTTGTTTCTACGCCAGAAATTTCCAAACTTATTTGATCTACTATACCCTTTCAGTGGAGAAAGGGGCAGTATGGGAGAGTTACTGCCGGCAGTATGGGAGAGTTACTGCCGGAGCCAACCATACCAGTCATGAGCCTTCCATTCCTCTGGGGAAACCTGCACGAAGATGGTCTCGTTCAGAAGAGACCCAGGAATTCCCTGGGAACTGGCTGGTACCAAGGCTGAGGCCATTTGACTTTCTGTTCACTGGCACACTGATGTCATTTGTGCAAAATCCTCTTCTTGTATTATTTAGTTGTGATTTTTTGGTGCCTGTTGGCCTCTCCCATTCCTACTTATAGGAAACTGTACTAATGGATTCCATGTGTATTTTGTTCTAGTACATGCAAGTTCTGGCAAATTTTGTATTATTGTTTTCATGTGTGTGCATTTTCCATTAATGCAAATAGCTCGGTATTATTGTTTTAAAATTTTTTTATTAAACATTGCTTTTCAAGATTTTCCTTGCTCAGAGATCTGTTGCTCTTCTTTCCAGCCGTTGAAGTCATGGGTCTGGGATTTTTTGTTTGTTTGTTTGTTTTGTTTTGTTTTATGGTTATATCCAACAGGGCTTGGGACTTAATTTAAACTGCAAAAACTGTGCTCTGCCCCATATGTATATTTATATGTATATATATCTCGCCCACACGGCAAAGCCTGGCAAGCTACCCGTGACGTATTTGATATGCCAAGCACATTAACAATGAGTCTCACAATGGAGATGTTACTGGGCCCGCTCGAGCAAATCGAAGAACAACAGGAGGACAGTGACAGTGACAGTGATGTATGTATCACTCAGGAATTACTCCTAGTGGTGCTCAGGGGACCATATGGGATGCTGGGAATTGAAACCGGGTCGGCCACATGTGCCGTACCCGCTGTTCTATCACTCCAGCCCCCCATATATATTTTTATTTTATTCTTTAAAAAATTTTTTCCTCATCTTATTTTTCTCCCCAGCCCTTTCTCTTTAGGTAGACTTAGTCCTATTATCAATGTCCACTATTTTTTTAACCTTTTTTGTCTTCCCTTAATTTTCAATTGTTGTATTGTATACATAGGTGAAATTATTCAATACTGATCTGTTTCTCTCAAAATTATCACATTTTTTCTGAAAGCCCCTCAAGCTCCTTTTATTTTGTCGCAAATGACATCCTTAATATTTTTAATACCTGAATAGTATTCCATTGATTCAATTATATAAATGTACATTATCTTCTTTATCTCGTCATTATTAATAAACGTTTGGGTATTTTTGTGTTTTAGCTATTATAAATAATACTTTAATAAATATTGTGTTGTTTTATTCTTTTTTACTTTCATTTTGTTGCAAATGATAAACCTTTAATATTTTTAATACCTGAACAGTATTCCATTAATTCAGTTGTATAAATGTATCAGATCTTCTTTATCTGTCATTATCAATATACATTTGGGTATTTCCATGTTTTAGCCATTGCAAATAATGTTTTATTGAACACAATGTTGTTTTATTCCTTTTTTCCCCTTTCCTTACTGTAATTTTCATTTTAAAAATATTTATTTTTACTAAAAACACCATGATTTACAAAGTGGTTCATCATACAGTCGTTTCAGGCATGTAGTGTTCTAACACTGCCAGTGTGACCTTCCCTCCACTAATGTCCCTATTTTCTCTCCCATCCGTAACCTGTCCCCTTAGGCACATAGCAAATTTACTTTATGTTACTTGTTCCAACAAAACTTTGAGAAATGGCAGACAGAATGATCAGAAAATAAGTTAGAAAGAGCCAATTTGTGATCACTATATGATTTTAACCTATGTAAATAAGGAAAATAAAACCCTTTAATACATTGTAATAAAATGCTTATTCTCATTTGCATAAGTAAGTTCTCAACTCTGGAATCTAAAGTATATTGCATTGAATTATATTTTATATTTGGATCTCATGGTAATAATCATGACATATCTCTTTTTAATAAAACCTTAAAAAAATTTGTGCTATTATATTTTGAAGTTTACATGAAATAGGTAAGTCCTACTTATGTAATTTTCCCTCCCTACAATTTATGTAAACACTGTGGTTTGCAAAGTTGTTCATGATTTGTTGCAGGCATTCAATTTTCCAAATTTTCCAACACCTATCCCACCACCACTGTCACCTTCCCTTTACCACTGTCTCCAGTTTTCCCAACCATCCCTCAAGTCTGCCCCTGTAGCAGGCTTGTAATATTTTATATTGCTAATTATCAATAAGGGCTGGAGCGATAGCACAATGGGTAGGGTGTTTGCCTTGCACTCAGCAAGGCAAATCAGTCTGATTCCTCCGCCCCTCTCAGAGAGCCCAGCAAGCTACTGAGAGTGTCACACCAGCAAGGCAGAGCCAGAGCCTGGCAAGCTACCTGTGAGGTATTCGGTATGCCAAAAACAGTAACAACAAGTCTCACAATGGAGATGTTACTGGTGCCCGCTTGAGCAAATTGGTGAACAACAGAACAGTACTACAGTGCAGTGCTACAGTTATCAATAAACTAATAACAGAATGATCAAAAAATATTTTCTTAGAAGAAAATTAGTATAATTAGCTGTATCGCACTAGGAGACATTAAGTCCTTGTATGAGGAATTACTAAGATGTTGTTATAGAGCCATTTTCTTTTACTTGTATTTATATTTATTCATTTATATTGCATTGACTATTTTGTATATATTGAGCCATCCTGGTGTGCCTGGAATAAACTCACTTATGACGTGCAAATTTTTAACCTCCAAACATCTTGAGGTAAAATAGTATAGCAAGAAAGAACATTGTAAAATAAAAATATCATAGGAACTACAGAAAGTAAGGACATGGGAGTTCAGAAGAAAAGAGAGGCACCAGAGTGATAGTACGGGGGATAGAGCGTTTGTCTTGCATGCAGCTGACCTGGGTTCTTTTCCCAGCATCTCAAAAGGTCCTCTGATTCTGCCAGGAGTGATTCCTGAGCAACACTGGGTGTGGCCCCCAAACAACACCCAAAACAAAAGTCAATAAAAGGAAAAGAGAACTTAAACCAGGGACATTAGGAGAAATAAGAGCAAACAGTGGGGTTTTGCAATCAGCAGGCTAAAATATAAGTCCCAGTGGAAGAGCATGGGCTTTTCTACAGACTCAGCAAGGACTGATTTTGTTTCAACTTTGATTTTGTTTCAAGTTTGATTCTGTTTCTCTTTTCCTTTCAGAGAGTTTCATCAAGACTCTGCCTGAGTACCACGTAGTGGGTCCTGTTCAAGTAGATGCGAGTGGGCGTTTTCTGTCCTATGGTTTACAGCACACCATCACCAGCCACAGAAGAAGGAGAGATGCGGGAAGCCCAGAGATGCGGGTGTACTATAAAATTGCCCATGAAGACAAGGACCTGTTTTTCAACTTGACAGTCAATGAGGAATTTCTTTCCAAAAGCTACATTGTAGAGAGGAGATATGGGAACCTGTCCCATGTGAAGATGGTGGCTTCCTCAGGCCCCCCCTGTCATCTCTGGGGTACAGTTCTGTACCAGGGTAGCAGGATAGGGACCGCAGCCCTCAGTTCCTGCCATGGACTGGTGAGTGTCTGCCTCCATCACCTCCCTCCTCTGCATGCAGGCCTCAGGGTGCTGGTCAGCATTGGGTTTGGGTATTTCATCTCCAAGGCAGCACTGAGTATATTGGTGATGATCTAGCCAGCAACTTTTGAGAGGAATTTGGCTGAGGGAGGGGCTTTCTAATAGTGAGGAAGATATCATCAGCTGCCATGATGTAAGTATGTATTTCTTTTTCTGTGGGGATTGAGGTTTTATTTGAGACCATATCCAGCAATGCTCAGGGGTTACTTCTGGCTATGAACTCGTGAATTACTCCTGGCGCTGCTTATATGGGATGCCGGGAATTGAACCTGCGTGCAGGCAAACCTCTATTTGCTGTACTATTGCTCCAGCCTCTTTGTGTATTTCTTAATCAGACTTCATAGGTGATCTTGGGTTGTCAGTTGATGGCTATGTGTCTCTGTTTTCTTATCTGTAGAATGGAGATAATGATGTTAGACTGGAAGCTGGAAAATTGTGATCTAGAAGAAAAATCTGGGCAAATCTAGAAATGCCTCTTGTTCATAAATAGAGGTTTATTAAACTACAGGTGTGCTGGCTGTTTAAACCCTATCATCCACAAGCCAAAATTTATGCTTTCTGTTCTTGACAGAAATGTTTACTTGTGAGAATTAGATGAGTATGTGTATATAGATGTATGTATCTATATACATATATAATACATATAAATTTTAAAAGTGTTTAGTAGTAATATTTCTAGAAATGTTTAGTAAATGAATGGTGGTTGCTATTACTGTTATCCTTTATCTTTCTAATAAGACAGGTACGGGAATGTGTATTTATTTATTAGTGTATCTTTATCCTTATAATAAGATAGAAACAGGAATGTGTGTTTACTTATTTAGTGGTGCTGGGGATTGAACCCAGGGCATCACTCAACCCTGAGCCACATTGCTGGTACTTAGACTGTGTAGTTTGTGGTGTGATTTGCGTCAACTTTCCTCTCTTATCCCTCAGTCCTCTCTTTTATTTGTGTGTTTAAATTTTTTTTTTATTGAAGAGCCATGATTTAAAAAGTTACTGATAGTTGCGCAGCGATAGCACAGTGGTAGGGCGTTTGCCTTGCATGGGGCCAGCATAGCTGACCCAGGTTCGATTCCTCCACCCCTCTCAGAGAGCCCAGCAAGCTGCTGAGAGTATCTTGCCCGCACAGCAGAGCCTGGCAAGCTACCTGTGACGTATTTGATATGCCAAACACAGTAACAACAAGTCTCATGATGGAGACGTTACTGGGCCTGCTCGAGCAAATCGATGAACAACGGGAGAACTGTGACTGTGACTGTGACTGATAGTTGATTTTTAGACATCAGTAATTCAACATCAGTCCTTCCACCATGTCAACTTCCCTCCATCAGCATTCTCAGATTCCCTCCTACCCCAACCCCCACCCCACCCCTCCCCCGCCTGACAGTTACATTACAAAATTTCAGTGGTTGCCACTTAGATCTCATGCTTTCAGTTCTGTTGAACCTGTGTTTTGAATATATGGCTGTAGCACTCCCTCCTATCACTGGTAGAACTGAAGCCCTGATGCCTGTTCATCTGTTACTTCTCGTAACTTGTTCCTTGCTCTCTCCCACAGGAGAGCTAAGAAAGGCAGCAGCTCAGTAGATTTATAAAGCAGGGAGAAAACGAAGGGCTGCTCCCCCCATCAGCCACCATTCATCCATTCTCTTCTTCCCCTCTTGATTTCTTTCCTTCTCTGGCTGTCTCCTTGCTAAACACTGGGGTCAGTATTTAGCTCACTGGATGATCTAAGCATCCCCCTTTTACTACAACACATTTCCTCATCCCGTAGTAGATGCTGAAGGCTGAAGGTGTCATATAGCTTTACTCTTCATTTGAGTTAGAGGTTTTGCATTATTACATCTCAATATATAACCAAGCTTTGTTTTATTTTTATTTTTTTTTATCAAATATCCACGAGATAAGACTGTGAGTTCAAAGGTGGGTGTGTGTTGCATTCAGTGGCTGAGAGCCACCTCCCCAGCCTCCTTAGCAGAGGAAAGAGACAGGTAACCACAGATTGATGGTCAAAATGGCCTGTTTAATGTACAGCTGTTGGCATACTTACAGAACATCTGAGGGGGTTTGAGATATAGGACTGCATGTAGTTGTGACTTATTTACAGAGGTAAAGTGTTTCAACAGAGGCAGTTCTCTTGGGGTGGATTAACTCAAGGAGACACTCTGTTGCCTAGAGACATCTATATTGCTTTTCTCCTTCCCTTTAATTGTATATATTAAACAATTAAGTTTACTTCGTATTAATCACTATTTTGCTGTCATTCCATTGTTCATCGATTTACTCGAGCAGGTGCCAGGAAAGTCTCCATTTGTCCCAGCCCTCAGATTTTAGCAGCCTCTCTTACTCGTCTTTCCCAACACTACCATATTGTAGGCTCTTTCAGGGTCAGGGGAATGAGACCCGTTATTGTTACTGTTTTTGGCATATTGAATACACCACAGGTAGCTTGCCAGGCTCTGCTGTGTGGGCGGGATACTCTCAGTAGCTTGCCGGGCTCTCCGAGATATATATATATATATATATATATATATATATATATATATATATTTTCCTCTATGATTAGTATTAATTCTTCCAGTTATTTGGATAAACATAATAAGAGATATAGATTCCAAAACTTAGTTCTCTGGGCTTGGACGGTAAGCAAGCCTTTTACAATAAATCCCAGACAAGTCCTCAGGTCTGTTCAGCCTATCCTTCCCTGTTGGGGTCCGTCTCTTAAGTCATAATGACTCGCATTAAGACCATGCTTTTATACTTTCTAGAGTCCTATTTCAATGCTGTGGTATCTTTGCTGCTCACTCTGGGGCCATCCAAGGCCCACAGTGGGAATCTCCCTTTTTGGGGTGTTAGGAACTATGGCCACTGAAGTCTGAGTCAAGTAATTATGATGGATGCCCGTGAGTAGATATATTTCAGAGTCAATCATTTCCCATTTATTAGGAGCATAGCATTAAGGTCTTTCTGTGTTTAAGCAAAGAACTTTGCTCTGTAGTAAAATATGAAAAAAGATTATAGGGGAAATAGAAAAGCAAGTAATTCACTACAAATACAAAGTCCAGAGCCACCTAAGGAACTAAGCCTGGCTTGGGGAATTGTCAAGCACAAAGGAAAGTTTAAAGATAAACTTGGGGGTTAGGAATGTTCCTAAGAGCACTGTAAGTTTCTCTAGGGATAAGAAAAGGGATAATTTACTGATGAATCGTAAAACACTTAGGGTTAATATACAACAATAGACCATTACAAAGGTGTTCATGAGTTTCAGTCATACAATGATCCAATACCCATCCCTTCACCAGTGTACATTTCCCACCACCAGTGTACCCCGTTTCCCTCCCACAATCACCCAACCCTTCCCTCCCCACCGTTTGCCTCCAAGAGAAGACACTTTTCTTCTTTCTCTCTCTCTCTTTTTGTGCATTATGGTTTGCAATACAGGTACTAAGTTCGTTCATGTTCGTTCAGGGTGTTCAATATTTTTGTTGGGAAGGTAAGGTTGGAGTAACTTTTTTAACTGGGTGGCATATTTAAGGTTTGGACCTGATGTGTGTGCCAAGCTTTCTGGTAGTACAGAGAGATGAGGGGAGGTATCCCATCCTGACCCCCGCAAAACCTGGAGATTTCAGTCATACTTATGTCAAACTCTGATACTTAAATTTTCAGCAGATTATATTTCAGGTCCGTCCTGAGACTGCGGAGTCTGGCTGGGGGTATGGCAGCGACGGCTGCCAGGGGCTCTGCTTGGGCAGGCACCAGGCTGACCCACCCCGCTCCCGATTTACCATGGTCTGTTCAGGTCTGAGATTAACTGCAGCTTTTGATCTCCTTCGAGATATATTTATGGGTCTCTGAAGCAAGGCTGATAAATGAGCTTGTATAACTGAGCTGCAGGTGGTTTGTGGGCGTGGCTTCCACATACCTAACTTTTGGCTGTTTAATTTCTTAGGAAACTTGGTTTAGGTTGGTGGGGGCCAGGTCCAACCAGAGGCAGAGTGGCAATTTGGGGTATCAGGAAGACTGAAGGCACCATCAGGCCGCTGATGCACTTGCCCATGGCTACAGGTTGACCTGCTGGTGGCACTGCACCCCCCCACCAAGCTTATGTTTTGAAATTTAAACCTACATTGATGAAAAAGTGGTTTTCTTTGTTTCCCCTGACTTATAGCAGCAGCAGCAGCAGCAGCAATGCTTTTCCCTCCTCCCAGGAGCTGTACCACAGACATTGTTCAGAAGTAATGTTGGAGTTTTTCTTATGCTTGAGTAAGAAGGAGACAGTTTAAAAGGGTGTGTTAGTGGGGAGAGATTCCAGAGTGTTGAGCACGATCATGGCAGAGACCAGGGGTTTCTGTCTTGGCAGCCGGACCAGTGCTGATTTGATGAGCGAACTGTTAGTGACATTGGCATTTTTCCCAAAGGCACTGATTTCAAACCCTCCCAGCATCTGTGCCAGGTTGAGAATCCTGTTCTTTATAATTCAGCATTCTCTTTATCCTGTGTCTGTATAGCTTGGCTTTGCTAGAATGTCATGGGAAAACTAATGTAAAACATTGCATCACGGTCTCAATATATCAAGACAGTTTAGACTTCTGAGAGGACTTTTGGAATAGGAATTCTTTTGTAACAATAGCTGGAAAGATTTGCTTTGTCCTTTTCTGTAATCTGGATTTTCATATGTGGCTATTTATCTTTCCCCCAGAATTGGATTCCAAAATAACAAGTCAAGAATGATGTCCTGTCCTCTTTGGGCCCCATCCATGCCTGTTTGAACTGGGGGCATCTCCTGACTCTGTGATCGTCAGCTTCTGAGTATGCTCTTGAGTTCACATCCTGTTATTTCTTTTCATTACCAGCTCTCTTTTTTTAGACAACTTTGAGAATCCATGAATCCTAATCCTATATGACCAGGGGTGTAGAAGAGAGAGTTGAAGTCCAAA